CCCTGTGACTCACCCCGCATCTTGAGCTGCAGGCGCCAGCGGCGACGATGCCGCAGCAGGCGCCAGCGGGGACGATGCCACACAGTCGGCTCTATTACTACCTCTGCAGGGAGGGGGAGTCACGGGATGAGTATGAGGCATGACTCACGGTCACCACACACACCACACGTCGTCACCATACACCACACGTCACCACATACACCAAACGTCACCCCACGTCGTCACACACCACACGTCACGACATGAACAGTATGACATGGGAGCCTATCCAATGCCAGAGGCATCTCCTCCAAACAGCATCTCCATGATGCGCCTGCTTAGGTCGCGGGGGATGAGAAAATCCGTGACTTTCGTGATGGATTGTCTTTCGATGTATTGACCTTTTTCGGGTGGTACAACAAGCCAAATTCGCTGACCGAGAACCTAAAGTTTGGAAAGGTCGTGTGGTCACCGAAACTTGAAAAAGAAAAAAAATCATTAGAGTGAGTTCAAAGACGTGCAACAAGGATAATGAAGAAATATTAGAGACTAGACGAAGCTATGCAAGAGCATATGTTCAGTCTTAAAATGCCTAGCAATTACTGACCTTACGAGCGGCTGAGCACGGGGGTGCTCAGTCGTACACTCCTCGTCGTCGTATAGCATACCTCGCTGCGCCTGAGGTCTGTCGGGATCTGCGGACAAGCCTGGTAGTGACATAACATAACATTGTTTTATGAATGAGATGAGCTCCAGCATAGGTGCGGACGACCCACCATAAGTCAGTGATGCAGCAGTACAAAATGCCTCCGCAACATACCTTCATCATTAGGGTTGTCTTCCGAGGAAAGGGACTCCAACGACGAGCTGCTCTCTTGACGTTGGATGAGTGATTCTTACAAATGAACTTCTTAAGCCTCCATCTCTTCCTCCTTGTAGGCGTCCATGGGCGCAGCAGGCGCCCCGCAAGCGCCGCGCGCCTGGCGACGAGAGGAGCCTGAGCAGATCTTCTCCCCTCTGCCCTCCCGTAATCTGCCGCTTACGGAAAATGATGATGCAACTGCCTCATCTGCTAGTGACAATCTAACTGTCACAGGACTCCTAGGCAATAGTGAAGACGAACTAAAACAAGAAACTTTTAAAGATATATAGGAGAACATTTGCGTGTTGAATGCTGTAAGCACGCAATTGTCATCAAAGATCCCATTCATGGGTGAGGTTAACCTCCAGCCTACTGTATCGTCTCTGGTAGACATAGCAAATGCCAAGCCTTCAGCACAGACTCCGCAATCAGAAAGATCGAATTCGTCTTCTCATCATCACGAGAAGAAAAATGAACGTGGATCTGCCGTTGAAGAGTCTGGAAGTAATACATCACGTCCTAGCACCAGAATTACGAGACGGCGAGCTAAACCTGCGGAAGAGGCGACGACGCAGTCCGACTTATTTGAGTCCTACGATAAGAAAAGAAAACAGCATCATAAAGGCTGTTGCTGCGCTCGGGAGAGGAACCGTCGGCATCTTTGCCTGCCGCATCTCCACCTATGTCTGCCGGAAGGATACGAGGATATGACAGG